AAATTCAATGCAATTTCCTTATTTAAATTACTCTAAAAAAAACAATAATTTTCTATACTTAACTTTTATAGTCAATTGAATTTTTTTCTTGAATAATATTTTAAAGTTCTGAATAGTTTTTATTACAACAATGTTCTTAAACGCAGATAAATAAATATTAATAAATGGTATAGAAGAATAGAAAGAAATATAAAAATTTATATAAAAAAATAATCGAAGATCAGTATCGATTAAGCATAATGTTCATATTACATAATATAAATTTTGAAACAAATAGTTACTATTTAAAACAGACTACGAAATAATGTTTCTTCATGAACAGGGCTGATATACAATTGTTTTCTTTTTAAAATAGACATTTCACTATATATTGCATATATGAAAACAAATATTTATCTTAAGAATGCATAAAGCAATATATTAAATTTATATAAATTTCTAAAATTGAATTTTAAAAACTTTGCATGTAAATTTAAATTTTTATCTAATGAGTTTATCTGATCTAAATAATATAAATTTGAAACACTCGATATTTATGTTTATATATATTTTGTATTAAACATAATATATATTTTGTATTAAATGTATCAATGTATTAAATATAAATACATAAATGAAGTTGTTATAATTGATAATTTTTGTGCATACAAATATCATAAAAATTATGTTTACAGGAATTTATATTTATAAATACATATAATAATATATATTATATATTATTATATATAAATGTACAAATATGTATTTGACTATTAGTGAATTTTTATTATTCTTGTTATATTATTACTGAAAAGTTCAATCAAAACATTTTAGATTTTCTTATAGAAATAAAAATTGATACTAATAATATTCTTATTATTTAATATTAATATAAAATTAAAAAAAAAATATTTAAAGCTTATTTATGCCAATTAAATAATTATTAAGAAATAAAAATTAAATTTTTATTATAAATTTTCTATTTAATTCTTCACATAATATATATACGAATGCTACGAATCCGTAACGAAATGTTTCATTCATTGTAACAAACTGATTTCAACAGTAAATACGAACAAAAATCCGCAAAAAAAAAAAAATATAGCGAATAAACAGATAACTATAATCAGAGAAGCATTCCACTTTTCTTACGCATCGTCATGTAGTATATGTATAACAAACTACATACTTACTAAGCTTTTGATCATTTGAAATGAACGTGAGAAACACTGACGTAGTATATATGAAGACGTATCATCTTCATGTTGTGTTTATTTTGAAAGCAATCGCAACTCGCAATTAGTAGATGAATGACGAAGTGATGAATATTAAATTCCTCGTGAAAGAAATAGTTCAACGTTGCCTGTGTATTTAAAAAGACTAAACCGATATTCTCATCATGTATATTTTGGTTGGTGAACGAATTCGATTGTGACAAAAACAGCAAACGAGCTCTTGTGTTAGTCCTTGATTTAGTGGCCCTGGGCAACTTAGCATAGCGAACCGAGTTTTATTAAAATAGTGTACTTGTATATGAGATGAAAATGGTATTAAGTGCAATATGCGTAAATTTATTAATTAATATTTTGAACTCGATACTTTTACTCATTCCATGTTGTGTGAACTTTTATTTTATGATTTCATACAATTTAATTACATACAAACCATACAGCTGTTCTTTCCGAGTTACGCCGTAATACGTTTTATAAAATTGTATTTTTATCGATACCTAACCTCTTTTTAAGAAATATCATCATTAGTTAAAACAGAATTAGATTCTAATGAATGATCAAAACTTGTTGATTTCTATCCCATCCATGAATCAAAAGAAGTAATAATCATGAAAATATCTATATACAAGTACGAATCGTGATTGTTCGACGATTGTTATATCTCCTTTAAATGGTAAACATCTTTCAAGTGAGTAAAACTCTTTAAGAATATTTCTTTCTGTGATTTAAACAACAATAACAGTCATTTTGAAATATATGTAGATTTTACAGAAAAAACATAATTATGTGCTCAAATTAATTATGAATAAGAAAGTGATTTTACGAAAAAAAAGAATAACAAAAAGAACAAGTAAAACAAAGACAAATGAGCTAAAAAAAGTATTGCGATGTGGGTGTGGTATAGATAATAGTCAAATGATATTGAAGAATATTTAGAGGAAAAAACTATTATAAACAGAAACAAATATCGATTTTAACCGATTGTATGCATTGCGTGTACAATGTGTCAATGTGTTAAGTGTGTGTTTAAGGTTAGATCATTCGTGATGACCACGTGCGGATATATATTTATATGGCGCGAATTTCAAACATGGTGAGTACATGAACAGAAATTTATAGAAATATTTGATTAATATATTTTCACTTTTATTATTTCAAATTAATTAAAAGAATATTCAAAAAGTATATAATATTTATATTCTCTCTATATTTATATCGTATATATTTATTTTCAATATTTTTATGATATTTAAATTTATATAATTATATAAAAATTATTACTGAATATTAATTAGTATATTAATATTATTAATATATTTAACATGAATCAATGAACTAAAGAAATAAAAAATATATGAGTGACATATTTATCGTTTTACCGTAAAAGCAATGTGAAATTAAAGAATCTGTGTATACATTTACATAGCTTACGTGGGATTCAAATATCTATAGTCCTTTATGTCTCGACTTGGCATTTGAATACGGGTTGACTTAAAAAGTACAAAGAAGCAGGATTTACGAGATGTGACACGATCAGAAACATTATACATACTGGGATATGAACGAGCCCGTATGAAATCTCATCGGTTTAGAATTACATTAAATTATTTAAATAAAATATTTCCACAAAATAAATATACAATATTATAAAATAAATAAATAAAAATTAAAAAAAAAAATTTTTTAATAAATTTTAATTGCTTTTATTAAAAATAATATATTTTTAATAAACAATTTATAATACAGTCAACTTTTTTTCAAATATTCTTTTCATTTTATTTTATTAAAATTCATACTTGAAATATATTCTATTTGTATCATATGATAAATTAATTAATGTCATTAAAGTTGAACAACTAACAATGAGAAACTGATTAAATATAGTGAAATGATTAAATCTATTGCAACGAAGTTACCATATAATTTTACCATACAATTTTAAAAAAGCAAGAATATTTATGCGTCAAAAATTAATATAAAAAAATTATAATGCACTTACTGAAGATTTTTAAAAAATTATATAATATTATAATAAATGAAATATTCATATAAATAATATATAATAATATTTTAAAAAATATATATAAGGAGGAATTATTATTTATATTTATTATTAATTATATAATTTTGAACAAAATATTTATTTTTTAATAAAATATTAATATGTGTATTTAAATATTTAATTATTTTTATTATTTTACATGTATATAGTTTTAATAAGTGATAATTTTGATAACGACATTCAATAATGGGATACTAAAAATGATATACTATACTATATTTTATTAAATAATTTTTTTTAAATATATTTCAGTCAATTAATATATATATATAAATGAAAAAATAGCGATTATATTTAAGACTTCTTTTGCAGGAAATTTCTTATAAATTTGATTGTGAATGATATTATTCCACTTGCGATATTCGTTTTAATTGAATTTCATCTGCTGATTTTAATATCACTTTAAAATCATACTGTATTCTCGCAAAGTGTGACTACCACTTACTTGAATGAACATTACGTATCAATTCCTTTGATCTATCGCCTGTTACAACGATGTGACAGCGTACATTAAAGAGATTGATAGGCGTTGAAGTATACTATATCATTTACTCGAGCCTTTTTAATCGATTTAAGAATATAAAAAAAATTTTTTTCATAAAATCAGTTATTTAATAAGTATGTAAATTGTATTATACAAAAAAAATATTAAATTAAAAATCAAAAATCTTATAACGTAAAAATCAAAAATTTAAAAATAATATAAAATGTAAGTTCTAAAAATATCTAAAAATTTATTTGTTTTTTAAATTTTTAATTATTATAATTATAATTATGTTATAAATAATTTTATATAAATTTTTATTATTATATTTTTTTTATTTGTGATAACTTGATTTCAGTAAAAAATTATATGAAAACACAAAATGCTTTTCGCTATTACTAAAGTACAATTATCTCTTACAAAGAAAACTGTGTATTTTCTTCATTGAAAATTTTTTTATGTTAAATCAAATATTTATTTTAACATGTTGCAAGATATTTTATTTATCAAATTAATAGTGTACAATTCAATAATTATAAAACAAATAATATATATTTATTATAAAGTGTTAAAAAAAATGTTGATATAATAAATAGTATAAAAAAAAAATATATAAAAAAAATATTTTTTTTCTCGTTTAATCTCGAAACATTATATTATCTTACTTATAAATAAGATTTTATCCAATTTATATTTATTTTTATAATTAGATTTATAAAAAATTAACTTATTAAAATAAACTTATTATATAATATCATATTTTTCTTTTATAAACTTTTATTTTGAGATAGAGAAAATTTTTTAGAACTAATTAATAATATTCATATCAAAAATCATTTACAAATTTTTGATTAAATTTTTGATGAACTCTATAATTATATATTTACATAGATATGTTTCCAAATTTTTGGTTTTAGTAAATGAATTATACATCACAACAGTTAACACACAACATTATGGGAAATTAAATGCATTATAGCCCAAAATATTATTCCCAGAATATTATATAATATGTTATTATATAGTTCATATTCTCTATATTGTTTCATTTACGTATACAAACAGAAAAAACATCGAAACATGCATATTTTTATTTTCTAACAAATTGATTTTAGAATAAATACAAAAGTATGAACATCGATTGATTTTTCAACTAACGTATACAAATTTTAATTTCTAAACAACAACTAAATCTAAAAGGACAACATACATGTATACGAAGAACAATACATATAGGACTCACCATATAGATGTCGTCCAGCAATCAATTCTCTTGTATGCACGGAATTTATTTTATCAAACTTTCATTGTTTATGTTTTAGTCCCGTATACGACAACACATGCGATTCACACAAAAATATGATTTTAAATTTCCTTCGTGGCAATGTTTATCACAAACTGGTTCACTGCCGCGAATATTTGCATGGATGTAGAAAATAAGCGATGAAAAATTGATCGATGTATGCGCGTTCTTTGCCGTGCATTTTCACTCCCACGTACAAAGTATCGTAATTTTTGGCTGCAGTTTTACATTATTGTTAACGCAGCAGAAGATTTTAATGGACTAAAGAATACCTAAAAAATTTAAAAACTATTCTTTGTCATTATTCAATAGATAAATTTATATTTATTATAATTAATGTGTCGTTAATGCGAATTTGAAGTTGTTGGAATTAATTGAATGGTCGCTACTTAAACTAATTAAAAGATCGTGTAATCAGATATTGTATTTCACAGGACAGTACGATCAATATTTTAAAAGTTTCGACATGTTATATATGTATACATAATATGTATGTCAATACAATATTTTTATATTTTAATATTAAATATTTTTTTATTATGTCATATGTATTATATTTTGTATTATTATGAAAAATGTATATATTAATATCAACATATAAAATTATTTCAATCATTGTTTTCACTGATTGTTTTAATAATTTTATTTATCTTATTATATTTCTATGTAGTTTTATTTAAAGCTTGTAAATATTCATTCTTATTTCTATATAACTCTCAGCTTTCTAGAAGTAGATCTTTTAAAATTTTTGCAGAATTATTATATAACATTTAAATTTGTATCATTTTATTTTTTTAATAAGTAGTACAAAAATAATAAAATAAAATATTAAATTTAAAAATAATATCTACTTATTATTAAATTTATTTGGAAATTTAATATATATTATATTTAATATATTATATCATATTATAAAGTTATATGAAACTGCATGAATTTCTTTTCATGAATTCAATGAGTTTTATATCGATTAACAATCGTATAATAAATTTTATTTGAAAAAATGCAAGCGCATTGTGAATGATAACATGGAAATTATCAAACGTTGCAACAATTTTTTATGATTTCATATAAACTTTTGTGTTAAAAAAATCACCATGAACATTTTAAATTTGTATTCAAAAGAATTTCAATATAAATTATATAAATTTGAATGACATTATTAAAAAATATTATAATTATAAGATTTGCAATAAATTATTTCCTTATATGATAATTGAAAATTTTAAACTATGACATTGTATGCTACGATAATAGCATATATATTTCAATTGATAACATCAAATAATGTGTAAGTCTCGTACAATACAAGCATTTTTTGCAGAATCAACAGGTCAAACCTGAATCAAATCCTTATTAACCATTGTGCTGATCAGACGATACGTGCTGAAAATACAATACGGACAAAAAAAAATAATAGTTCTCTGCAATGCCATTGAAAGAAAAGTTTTGACTCAAATGTAATAATTCATTAAATACTTTTTAAACGATCTTTTGTTTAAAACACTTATTGTTCAACCAATAAAATTAAAAAAATTTCGCAAGAATAAATACAACATTAAATAAACTTAATTGTCACGCAATTAAAAACTTATAATTGCTCCTTCAACATCATTTGAAGGAACCCTCGAGAAGCATCATGTCGCAATATATCGCTATCTTTATTTACTCGTATATACATTCCATACAAACCATTCTGTGTATATATATATATATGTACATGTATATTACCATTGGTCTCATCCCTTTCCTTTTCACCTTCTTTCTATAATTCATTCGCCCACTCAACCACAGCACATTTTCTCTCGCTCTCACTTCTCATATTTTTCTTTTTTCGCTTATTTTCAAAATACAGTATCGTTTTCAACTCTTACTCCAACTATCTTTCTTTTATATATATTTAATTTATTCAAAATAATGAAACTAAAAAAAAAAAGCAAAAAGTAAATAACGAAATATAGAAAAAAGAAAAGGAAACGATATATTTGAACGAAGGAGTGAAAAAATCGACTATAAATGATTTTCTTATATCAGAAAAATCCACGATATGAACAAGAACAGATTAAATTGAACAAGATTAGAATAGATCGATTACGTATGTTATGTACCCTTTATGTTTATGTCATTTTTCTTCTTGCTGGTCGATGGTTCATCGTTGATCGTGTCCTCGGTCGCGGTCATCCCCTTTCCTTTTTGTAGCCATACGTTCCTCAAACAACGAGAAGCCGGTGGAAATCAGAGAGAGAAGATGCGTTTTGCAACGCATTCGCGGGACACGTGAACCACCGATGAAAAAGACAGCAATGACAGCAAGAGACGATGATGTCGAGCGAATGAATACAATTGTCAAGATAGAAAAAGATAGAAATACTCAGGGCAGAGAAAATTGAGAGAAAGAAAGAGACCGATAAAAGGAGAAGAGAGAAAAAGAGGAAGATATACTGTACACGTTTCTGTCTCTGTCTTTTTCTCTGTCTCCCTTTCGTCGCGCACCAAACCGATCGGCGATGTGTAGCCGCGTGCGCCACCACAATAGCTAATCAAAAAAAGATAACTAAAAAGACGAATGACGAAAATGACGACAACAATGACGACGACGACAAGGGCGAGAAAGAAAACGTGGCCTCTCGTCAAATCCACGTCGGCGACGCTTAACGTTGAGGCTGCTCTGGGCGTCGCGGCGCTCACACATCGGCTCACTGAGCTCGGGGTAGGCGACACCGTCGGAACAGAGGATCGCGGTTACGGCCGACAAGGACCGAAAGAGCAAGCCGAGCTTTCCAGATGTTATTGCGCACGCGCCCTTGCATTGCATATCAATGTTGAATCAATTTTTAACCTATTGAAATTTCTGTTAGATTTCAAATCAATTAATTTTTATTTCTTAATAACTTTTATTTATTTTTTTTACGAAAAACGTGAATATAGGAACATAATATGTAAGTATATTGAATTACATTATTTGTAACATAAATAAAATTCCGTTTATAAAAACGAAAATAAAATGTTAATTGAAATTTACTTATATATAGGATGATAATTTTAAATATTGATACAATAAATATACAATATATATTTTTTATTGCACAAAATTTGAACTTTTTTCTTTTTTTTATTTTTTTTTCTTATTATATAATTTATAAAATAATTTAAAAACTTTATTAAAAATTATTTATAAAAAACTCAAAAATTTAATTAAAAATTTTAATCTTTTATTCTTTTATATATATATTTTTATATTATTGTCATATAGAAATTATATTTTCTTTATATTTTAGAATCACAATTGATCTCTATTATTTTATAAGTGCAATCAAATACTTACAATGAAAAATATTGTTAAAAAATATTTAATGGATAATATAAATAATAATATATATATTTACAAGTTTCCATGTGGTGCAATTACTTAATTGCTCGATTTTGATTGGGCTCTTTTATGGATAGAGATGGTAGTATTTTCAGTTCATGATTTGCACGCTACATATTTGACGAGTCTCCATTGGTTGAGTTACCTGAAAGACCGACAAATCAGCCACTCATGTCTAAATTCTCGCCGTTTTTAATCCTCGAAAGAATATTAAATATCAAAATTTTATTATTCAAAAGTTATCAATGTCAAAAATAATTTATAATATCATTAAAAAACTTGAATAGAATAGTAGCAATAAAAATTTAGTACAATTAAAAAGAACATCTATGGAGTATAATTCTCATTTTCAATATATGTTTTTAAGTGTATAAGAATAGATGAGAACTTGGTAACAGTGGGGTGTAGAGGACGCGCTCTCGTGGTGGGTACACCAAATGCCAGTGTCAATATGGCCGTTGCCGAGAGCGCAGTATGTGGAAAGACGTGGTCGCGATAGTTTGTTCGATCTCTAATATGAGGTACGCTTCGGTAGGCACAAACGTTTATACGTAATATTAATACGTTATTGAAATCTCAACAAAATGAATTGTGTTGTGGAAGAGCGGATAAATAACATACAAAGCGAAAATGCTCTAATACAAGGTATGTGGTTGTCGGGATCATTAAAAGTGTTTTTCAAATCATTTACAAATATTTATCGCCAAAAGCACGCTAGCTTTCTCAACGCGCATTCAATCGATTTGTCCCTATATTTATTGGCACTGTCATTCAAAAAATATGAACTGAATTTGTAGAAATTCAAATGAAATCTCTAAACAAATATATTATATCCTTTAGTGATAGTTTTGTAAGTTTTCTGTGAAAAGTCATTCTTGTGTTAAGTGAGCAATGCATCTGTGTTAACAGCAAGATACAATTATTTTTTGATCAGATTTATTTTAAATTATTTTCTTGTATTATACTTTTGATTAAATTTATTTTGTAATTTTCTAATAATATTATTTTTACAAATATTTTTAAATAATTCTTATGTATAAATTTTACATTTGTTAAATATTTTTATGAAAATTGAATAGATTTTCTAAATCTCAAATATTATTAATACTTTGATAAATAATAAAAAGTGTTTAAAATGATTATCTTTTTGTCTATTTTTCATTGGATATTGTTATCATTTTGTATTATTTAAAAGCATTAAATAATTAACAAAAATATTTTTTTAAAATTTTATATTATTTCATAAATTCTATATATAGTGTAATTAAAAGTGTTTAGTGAATTCGTGGCATAATAAGTGGATACATAATATCGATAAAAAAATAATTTTTTTTTATATATAAATTGCAAAATATAAAAATTTCATTCCAAACAATATAAAATATAACTACAACTATTATGTAGACTACAACTATTATGTTATGTAAGAGATATTAGATACATACTTATTAATATTATTTTGAAATTTTAAGTCAAATATGTAAAATTAATGTTTAAACAATTTAAATTATAAAGTAATTAGAATTATTTTTTCATAAAAACTAATTTTTATATTTTTTTATGAAAAAATTCTAATATTTTGTTTCATTTGAAAAATTTTAATATAATTCTTAAATATATTAAAATTATATTAAAATATATATATATATATATAAAATATATTTTTGAACATATTATTAAATATTTTCGAATAATTTAATTATTACGTTTTGTACAAATTTCTACGATTATAAAATATAATTGCATGATTTTTAATATTATTAAAATAATTTTTTTAAACTATTTGTTTATTTCTTTGAAATGAAATTAATTTATTATTATTATAATATTTTATAGAACATTTTTATAAAATATTTATGATAAAATTCTTTAAAATATTTATTTATCAATATAGATACCAAAAAGGAAATGATTAAAAACAATGGAAAATTAAAATTGAACAATGATGAATCAAAACTATCTATTATTGAATTATTTCCATGGATATTAGAATTTAGAAAAATGTGTAAATGTATACATACAGAGAAAAGTATGGCATCTTTAAAAGAACTTATGAAATTTTATTTAAGGTAATGATTTATATTATCATAAGTTTATGTATTATTGTTGTTTTCAGTTTACCAGTAAAGTATTTTCTGGGAACTGGTTTAAAAATCAGTAGAAATAGATATCTTCTGTAGATATTATTATATAATAATATATATAGATATAATTAAAATAAAAACTAAAGGATAAAAACTAGATTGATATTTTTTTCATTCATGATGATAAATTGAAATTATTAAAAATATTTATAATGAAAAAAACATTATAGTGCAAATAAATAATTAATAAAAAATAAAAGTAACTATGAAAATTTTAAATTTATTATTTATAATAATATATATAATATAATTTTTATTAAATTATTATAAATATATTGTTTTAATGATTATATTATTAAATATAATATAATATATGTAATATATTTATACATAAAAAATTATTACTTATATTACTTACATTATTATTTAAATAGAATTAATGTTTATTCTAATTATTTTATTTTCAATTATTATATATTTTATTGTATTTTAAACAAAATTTATTATTAAACATTATTAAGTATTTTTTAAAATATATGATTTTAAAGAATTAATATTAAATTTTATATTTCAAATTTTGTAGTTATAAATTAATAAAACATACATAAAATTTATAACAACATGATTAAAATATGTTATTATAAAATATTTTTGAATAATTTAATTATAAATTTAAGCATTAATGTATTTATTATATGTTAAAACAATTGAGATTAAAAATATAAAAAAAGGTTTAAATATTGAGATAAAAATAGATAATATATTATAAATTTATAAATTTTATCATTTGCATAAAATAAAAAGTGCCGCAGCAATTAATTTTCTTACAGAAATATAAGTGTCAGTGTAAATGAGTGTTACACAAGGCCTTTGAGAGCTGGAAAATTAAAGGATTTTATTAGTGATTCTTTAATGTTATTCTTATATATTTACCGTGAACTTTCTAAGGTAAGCTCTTTTTTAATTTTTATTTTTTTGTATTTTCATATTATATTTTTATATTTGTATACAAATATAAAAAAATTTTATTTTTTAGGATTGTGATAGGTTCAGTTATTTAAATATTATGTCAGATTTATTAGCATTCTATATAGATATGGAATTAAAAGCATCTAGAAAAAGCAGAGAGGATCATGATAAAATTTGTGCAAGGATTACTTCCTGTCTATATGTTTATCTAGGTATAATTACATTTTTAAAAATTGTTTATAGGTATAAATTTCAATGCACAAGCAATGAAATTTATAATATTTAAAATATTCTTTAAAATATTTTTAAAGAATTTACATATATCTCTTTCAGAACATTCCATGGATTATTTATTAGATACATTGATGAAAATACAATTTATGTGTCGCAGTTATCATCATATTTTAGATCCAATTATGACGTAAGTATAAATATAAAATAAAATTTAATCTAAAAATAAAAATTTTTTTTAAATTTTAATTTTCTTATTTAATTTTCACTTTATAAATTTTAATCAAAAAATATAAAATTAATTTTATTATTCGTAAAAACTTATGATTTTTTTTCTATGCAGTATATTATATTCAAATATTCAAATATTTTCAATTATCTTATATTCAAATCTTTTTTTTTTTTTATTAGGAAAATAATAAAAAGTATTCCCATACATCCAGAATCAGATATAATGTATATCCGTTACTTTTTTATTTATCGTTTGTGGAGAAAAATAAATGAAAATGTAGCTATAAAAAATCAAATAACAACTGCAGCAATTGCATCTCTGGGGCCATTGCCATTAACATTTTCATCAAGTATATTAGAAGATGTATTGCCAAAAGTGCCAAAGAGTCAACCAAATTCTACAAAGTCTCTTCTACAACAAAAATTTGATATAAAGAAACATTGTGTAATGTTTACACAATATTGCAAAGAAAACAATAGAAGTGTATACCAGAAGGACGGATTTGCAACTCCCATTGATTCGTCCAGTAGAATTAATTCAAAAATGGTATTTATATATGTATGTATTCATATATATATATATATATATATATATATATATATATGTATGTATGTATGTATGTATGTATGTATGTATGTACGTATGTATGTTTATATATATATATATATATGTGTGTGTAAATATATATATATATATATATATTTGTATTTATTAATTTTTTTTTAATGGCAATTTGTTCCATTTAATAAGTATTGTTATAATATAATATTGTTATGATAAAATTAATAATATTTATGTTTATGAACATGTCTCAGCCGGAAGATATCGTTAAGGAAGATGTAGAATATATAGATAATAACATAAATTCAATTATTTCAAATAAAAATAAACAAAATGAATCTATTTCTTTGCTAAAAACTTTT